CTGGCCGAGACATGTAGAGTTGCAGTAGGTGCCATTGACGATTGGTCACCTACAACCCATCACTCAACCAACGGAACGTACTGATGGTCCGCGATTTGGATCAAAGGATGGACAAAATATAGAAGAATCTCCCACACCTAAGTGTCAAACTACGCTCCTCACCTACGGGGCGTCGACTTCCTTGCATAGGTTGGGCTGGTTTGAAAACTTTTGGCTCACATGATGGGTCTTTCCTAAAGGGCCCTTGGTTGGTCCTTGGGGAATATTTACTAGACGGTTCCAAACCAAATATGTTTGAACACAAGTTTAGGACCTCTCACATCAATTTTACAAAAAACGGACACGTAAAACTCAAAGAAACATTCTAAGGTACACAAGGACGTTTCAAGGCAAACCTTTTGAACGTCATGGATGTTCTTGGACATTTGACCTCCAAACATCTTGGAACTTTAATCACTGACTCCTATACCATTATAACTCATTTTAGGACTTCAAAACATCAATACATAAGCGTTCGGTTCTAGTTACACCTAAGTTATTTTAGAGGTGTTACAATCTGCCCCACTTGGATAACATTTGTCCTCTAATGATACCTGCTTCATTTTAAACACTTTCAAGAGATAAGAAAATCATGACTAGAAGAACATAACCATACCACACTATACACAATTAAAAATTAGGAAGAACACCAATTTCACATGCTTAAGAGATTCGAAACACAACAAGTAAATAGAAACTAATCTATGACTAATCATGCACATAAGACTCACATGTTTCATTTCAAATAGGAGGAACACCTTATACAAACATTATCATGCTTATATACATCAATTCTTTACACATTACAACAATTTAAAAAAAACCAATTTAGTCAAAATTTGGAAAATCTTACAGTGAACTTCCAAGCAATAGAGTGAATATGCTCAAAATTCCAAACATGCAAATATTAAGAAATTTATGATAAAGCATGAAAATATGAAAGATAAAATCATTTTAAAAAGTTAACTATAACTTCATAAAATGCACAACGCAAGGAATTAATGAAATTCAATTCCAACAAGGCTTCTAAACACAATGAAACATGCTACAATGACTTTCTAACTCTCAAGATTGAGTCAAATAGAAGAGATGAGACAGTAAATCAAAACTCCACAAATCACCACACTCCCCTCACTTAGAAGGAACTCATAATAAATAAAAGAGAGAATCTATGACATACCAACATCATCTTCATCAGCTGGCATTGATCCTCTAGCCCGGAGTGCATAGATACGATTCTTCCTTGGAACATTATTACCTGGAACAATTGGAGGAACTTGCTTACCTTCCTTTGTTCTACACGCAATTATAGGACAATCCTTCACCTTATGTCCATCTTTACCACAACCAAAGAAATTTTTAGTACCAACTAGACATTTCCCATAGTTCTTCTTCCCTCAAGTATCACAAGTAGGCTTACCATTTTGAGAACCACTACTCTTCTCAAGTTTGACCTTAGGATCCATAGGTTCATATAACACCTCTAAAATTACTTAGGTGAAACTAGATCCTAAAACTTGTGTAATGATTTTTTTAAAAAGTCCTAACATTGTTAATAATAGTTTTTATAGGCAGTATATAAAGTTTTGATGAAGTTTGGAAGTCAAACTCCAAGCACGTCCATGTTGTTCGAAAGGTTTGCCTTGAAATGACCATGTGTGTCTTAGCATGTTTCATAAAGTTTTATGGGTTGTTTTGAGTTAAAATTGATTTGAGAGGTACCTAACATGTATACAAGAGTATTTGAGGTGAAAACGTCCGGTCAAAACTCCCCAAGGACCGACTTAGGGGTCCATGAGGAGGACCCAAGCCTTGGGCTAGCAAGCTGCCTAAGGAAGCACAATTTTTTCATGATGGGAACTAGTCCACGTCGCGGACTAGGTTCACGGAGAGCCAAAATTTTCTACGGGTTGCGGATAGACTCCATTGTCTTGGAATTTTATTTTGAAAAATGATGTGGAAGAAGCTCCGTGTCGCGGACTTGTTTCCCGACGATAATTCCGGAAATTTAAGATGAGTTTGACTTGGTTAAAGGGTCCTATAAGTTCAGGGGTATTTTGGGTATTTTAGGGTCTTATAATTGGAGGTTATTAGATCTTTTTAAATCCCGAATTCACCCTTCAAATAATAACCCTCAAGTCCAAAACAAAACCCCTCCATCTCTTCTCTCCAAAAACCTCCATTGATGAAGTTTTGAAGTTCCAAGGAAGACAATTGATTTTCTAAGTTTTTCTCCATAAATTTAGTGGTATTTTTATCATAATTAAGGCATGGATTTTCATCCTTGTATTCTCTTCATTCAAGGAGTCAATTTGAATGATTTAAAAAATGATCAAAACAATGAATTATCCAATTTTGTAATCTAGCCATGGGTTCTTTCATAAAATATTTTGAATAATTGAATATTGATTAAATTGTTGTTAATTAGATGATTTTAAATTAAAAATATTTGAAACCATGCAATTCATTCAACCCTAGATTTGACTACTTTGTTGGTGATTTTATTATATCTTAATGTTATTGAGCTTATGTAGTTTGATTAGGGCTATTGAATGATGATCATGCTAGAATTCTTAGTTGGCTTCCCTAATTTCATAAATTCATGTTGTATTATCCTTGATTCACTATGTATTATGATTATTGGGTTGAATTGATGTCATGACCATTGGTAAGGGCCTTGGTATATTGTGTTGGAAGAATTAACAATGGATTCAAGTTATGGGGTTGAATTCATGGTATGTTGATATATGTTGTGGGGTTGAATTCATGGTATGTTGATATAACTTTCTCTAAATTGTGTAGTCTAAGATTTAGATATTAATGATGTTTGGTATGGTCCACTTATGGTGGCGGTGCTTATGTGCTATACTTGTGATTAATGTGGCCTTATCGACATTCCTTTATGAATTATGAATGATGTGGCCTCATTGGCATTTATTTATTTATTATGAATTTATCATTTTATAACTTGAATATGTGGTTATTATGAATGTCTATATGACTTATGTGTTTATGTGGAGTCAAAGCATGAGTTTTTCTAGTTGATGATGTGTGTGACTAGTAGACTATGATATAGTCATTATGTGGATTTCTTGATGTTGAAGTATGATGTTTATTGATAGATTATATGATACTTGTGATATTTAAATTGATTATACTATAGTAGTGAGTAGTATGACCTATAGATGATATTGGTTGTACCTACGTGCTTTTTGAATGATATGCAATATATGATATGGTGAAGTATGAGTGTGTCTTGTTTTGGTAGACTTGTGTCCCTTACTTGATACATGTACAATGTGAATGTGAGTTCTTGACTTAGTATGCTAAAGCCTCTTAGTCTAGTATGTGTGATTGACATGTGAACTTGAACATTGTTAAGATGGTCCTTTATCTGGAACCTTCAACCTAGTTGAAAGGTAATGATATCTTTGAAGTTTAAAGCCGTAGTGGGATCCTTCATGTGTGAATGGTGGACTTAAGGTTTATTGGATGGAATGACATGAAATCATCCTTAGGAAAGTCATTGAGCTATGCTCTTAACCATTGTAAGAAAACCTTAGGGGACCTCTTTGGTAAGGCATAATGTGATTTGGTTGTGAACTAGATATGAAACCTCTTCATGTACTCCTTTATTGAACTAATCTATGAGAACAAAGTCTAGCACGGAGTGAGTATTCTTGGGTAGTAGCTCTAGCTAAGGATGAGGCTAGAGTACAAAAGAATCCTCGATATTCCTTAACCATGTGCCTACATTGGTTGTGTCCTTGTTCTACCATTGGCAAGTAGAACACCCTTTGTCGGAGTAGGGTTGACTCCAAATTCCATGTTTAGATACGATGGTCTATGTCGGTTATTGTCTATTCTCATCATATGGGATACGTGCTAGTGTTGGAGAAGTTCTATGAAGTTTAAGTTGTTCTATTGGACACTATCTAGATATTGCACGATTAGGTTTTGAAGATGTTAGTGACTGAGTTCCTAGGTCTTCTCCAAGACCATTACTTGAATGTCCTTATGTGATGAATGTATATTAAGTGAACTAATGATGATAATGACTTAAGTTAAAAATCATATGAATGAATAAGTACTTAACTAGAGTAGTTTAAGGTTTGCCAAGTTAAGGTGTGAAGGGGGCATAAGAATGTTCACTTCATGTCTTACCTAGGGAAGTCTTAAGAATGACTCTATATAGGAAAGTTGGTCGAAACATTAGATGTAACAACCCTAAAATGACTATGCTATGTAATTCTTAATGTATCTGGAGTGCCTACGATTAGACCGGGTTCACACAGATTTTTGCGCATAGAACGATACCTCTGAACCCTTGCAACAACTAAGACAACTGATTTGGTGAGTTATTTGAGCTAGGAAAGGTTGGGTCCAACCATGTAGGGCACCCGAATATGAAGATTTACCCGGATGAGTCTTAACCAGACTTAAAAAGGGGTAATCTTATGTTTAGAGGGTGTATGTAAAATGGTCTTTTCAAGGCTAAGGGTAGTATTGTAATTGTCTAAAATATTTAATTAATTAATTAAATAATATGGTGGAGGGGTAATTTGGGTAGAAAGGGCCGAAATTGGTCCTTTGAGTGAAATCTTGCTCCACCCTGGTTTGAACCTAGGTGGGAGCAATGATTTACTTTGATTTATTTTATTTGGTGAACTAATTTAATTAATTAATATTTAATTACTAATTTAATTAAAGGAAAAATTAGATTTTGAATAATAATAATAATAATAATAATAATAGTAATAATAATAATAATAATAATAATAGTAATAATAATAATAATAATAATAATAATAAATAATAATAATATTATTAATAATAATAATAAATAATGAGGAGTACTAGTTTGACTAAGTCTCCACCTAACTCTCCTAATCCTAATCCACTCATTGTCACGTTTTTCTCTTCACCTCTCTCACTTTCACGCTTATGCATTCCATAATACAAAAGGACAGAACAAAAATAATAAAGTTCATCAAGAACTTGAATGCTAAAAACTCAAAAGAAAAGTTAGTCTAAAAACGTAAAGCAAAACAAGGTTCTTGACGTGATTGTGCTTGAAGTTTCGGTGGTGAGGCTTGGTTTCGTTGGAATTTGGAAGTATTTAAACAAGTGTGGAAGGATATTATGGTATGATTTTTCTTATCTCTTAGACCCTTTCCTAAGAGACCCCTAAGTTCAGTTTAAATTCCAATCGAGAAACTAAGGTTTTCCCCGTTGCATGCCCCTGCCATTAGATCCTCTGAAAGATTCAAAGCATGTGTTGGTATGTCTTCTGGTAGCTAATTTTAGGTCTGGTTGTGATTATGTATTGAATGTGTATTTGGAAATTATGTAAGGAATGAAAGATGTATTCTGGAAAAGTATTTTACGTTAATTGTTTGAGCATGGTGTGCTGTAAATTAACTATGTTGCTGCCTGAAATTTGTGTGTTATAAATGTTGTGTTTTCTTATATGTAAATATTTAAAGTGTGATGTTTATTTAAGTTTAATGTTGCTAGATTTAATGGTAATTCGTGGCTGAATGTAATCATAAAAAGATTACACTTAAAAATGAACCAAATGATCCACGAAATGCCTTAAGAATTAACTTATGAATGATGATAAAAAGAAGCTGAAAATAGTGAACAAATTTCTAGCATTTGGTAGGTTGGGTTCGGCCAAACAAAGTGGTACAAAATTCAACGAAAATTGAATGTAAAATAATTGAGATCCCTAAGGATTGAACCCAAGATATCATTACATAAAAACTACAAAAAAAAAGCAACAAAAGATTGAGAGGAAAATGGATTGGAAGAGACCAAATTTCCAACTTGCTGGAAATTTGGAGTCTCGGCCAAGGATGAGAAAATTAGCTATGTTTTTAATTTTTTTAAAATGTGAGGTCATTGGGGATCGAACCCATGACCTCACCAAATAAAAATAACACAAAAATTTCATGAGAAAAATGAAAGGAAAAATAGAGGTGGTGAGTGGGGATTGAACACACAACCTCTTGAATGGATGAGAGAATTAGGAGAAAAATAAAGGAGAAAGTAAAATGTGGAGAGTGGGGAATGAACCCACAACCTCTTGAATGGATGAGAGAGTTAGGACAAAAATAAAGGACAAAATAAAATGTGGAGAGTGGGGATGAACCCACAACCTCTTGAATGGATGAGAGAGTTAGGAAAAAATAAAGGAGAAAATAAAATGTGGAGAGTGGGGATTGAACCCACAACCTCTTGAATGGATGAGAGAGTTAAGACAAAAATAAAGGAGAGAATAAAATGTAGAGAGTGGGGATTGAACCCACAACCTCTTGAATGGATGAGAGAGTTAGGAAAAAAATAAAGGAGAAAATAAATGTGGTGAGTGGGGATTGAACCTACAACCTCTTGGATAGGTGAGAAAGTTAGGAGATAAATTAAAAGAAAAATAATGAGCTTGTGGGGGATTGAACCCACAAGCACCTTTCCTTAAAACGAAAAATGAGAGGATAACAAGAGAGAAATATTATGGGGTTGATGGGTATCTAACTAGGGTCTCGCGAATCTGAAAAATGCAATTATAGAGTTTAAAATAAGATTAAGTGTTGTTCAAGGGATTCGAAATTGGGTTTCATTGACCAATTACGTATTGACACATAATTCATACGCAAACCAATATTTAATGAATGCTGCCTCTAAAGATCGAAATCAATATCTTGGGATATCTACAAGATGCATAAGTCTTGTACCACATAATCTTGGGTAAACATGAATCACTTAGACAAACTATGAATGAAGCGTCATGGAATGTATGTGTAGACTCATAAGTCTAGCATACGTTTAAAAGTAAGTGAGCCTAATATGTGTGTGATAAAATGATGTAACCCTAGAAGGTTTAAGTAAGAGTGTGAAACACACTAAATGACCAAGTGCATTGGCATATGATGAAATGAACATTCACGTGAAGGGGTGATTAATTATGAAAAGCAAATGTGTTAAATTTAATGAATGTGGTGAAAATATGATAAGAGGCTAATGTGAAAGATGAGAGCAATATCAAATGATCCTAAGTAAATGTTACCAAAACGTACTCACCTATGAGAGTGTAAAGCTAATGAAGAGACCATTCTTTATGAACACTCTAATGAAAGTATTGAAGTTAATGCATACTTAATACGAATGATGATATGAGAAATCATCTAATGATCTATGAAGTCCTCATGCTAGAAGACAACTTCCATGATGTATGAGTTGAATGTAATGAAACTTTATACTGAGCACCGATAGGCTAGCTAAGAGCGGTGATGCGTCCCTTCGGGAAGGGCGGAGGTTCATATAACTCTCATGAGATGAGACTGTCCAGCATGCTAGGTATGGGTCTCCTTATATCTCCTAGTCTTTGAACCTATACTACAATATAAGGACCTAGTAGGTTCCATTCCCTAGATATGCTAGTATGTTTTGGTTCACTTTGGCCGGTGATTCCACCTCTTTTCGGTGTGGGGATTACTCATTGGATTTCATGATGCTTACATGATCTATGTCGGTTAAGGTTAAAAATTCCAAAGAAAGAATAAGGCCAGCCTCAACGAATGCACATAATGAAATGAACGATACCAAAGGTGTTAGGATAGGATGATCAAGAGGTGATCTAGACTTAAGTAATAACACTAGGTTTTTCTTGGTCATTGCACAGCGAACCCGATGAGAGTCTTCAACTACATCCTAGGTATGACTGGTGGCTGCACTAGTATATGAAAGAATGAAAATGAAGTACGTATGAATGAATGAAGCAGACTCTGTGTTTGTTAAAGAAGGCTCCGTAGTTGAGGTCCCATATGTTGAGCCCTTATTTTGGGAGGTCCTAATGTATGGTCCATGATTCCAAGGTCTCATGACATATGAAAGAATGATATGAACTATGTGATATGATATGTGTAATATGTTATGTGTTATTTACAAAATGATTAGTATGATGATGCATGTTACTCTCATTGCATGACTTTCTTAATCCGAAATTGGCAAGATCACTGACTTGACATTCCATAATTCATATCGATAGGAAAGAGCGCTTCTTAATCATGCATGTCGTTGGTGTGTGCTTGCATATATCCATACTTACTACAAGTGTGTACTAATCCCATATAACTCTAATTTTTAGGTGCAGACATAGGTGGACGTTAGAATTACAGGTCGACGCTGAAGCTATCCAAACATAGAGCATTCATCCGGATTTGGTAGGCCTTTATGCTTTCGAGGACGATTGCCTATTATATTCTAGCTTAGATATTGGTTTGAGTAGTGGAGTATCTTCCACTAGCGTTTCTTTCTCATCTTATTTCAAACATTTTATTGGTCCAATTTTGGCAAGTATACACTTAATGCAATATGGAACTATTTCTTTCATTTGATTATCTTAATATTAGATGGTTGATTGTGAACGTTTATGAGTTTGAGTAGAATGGCTTATATGAATGTTAAGTAACAAAAAGTTCAAATTTTCTGCAAAAATTAACCTAGATGAAGTAACGGTGACGTATGTAAGCTTGTCTGCGACCTCTGAGAGGTCAACAACGCTGGTCTCGTCTGGGGACTAGACTCCGGACGTGACAATTGCATGATGAACCCATTCTCTGTTACCAAAACGATTTAGCCTTTTATGGGCTTTATGATCTTGATTTATTATCGATTGAATTATGATTCTATTATATTTAAGTGGTTGTATCTACTGTTATTTACATTAATTCATCATGATTTTATGATGAAGGATCCATGGATGAATAATTGAACATGCCTAGCATAGTATTCTAGGAATTCATGGTAACATGGCCCTTTTTGTGATTTAATGTTGAACTCGATTATGTTGTGGTTCTTGTAGCTATTGTTTTAGGTCAATATTGTGGTTGAATTGTGAATATAAATACTGTACTATCAAAATAAAGAAGGCTTGGTTTGAATTAATCTAGGTTCTTCTAGTCTATGGAGTTGTAACTTGTTATCATGGCGTTAGGTTAGTTGTTATATAAATTGATCATGGTTAATGTCTATAGATGCTGCCTATAACAAAATATGGAGATGAATTGTATGTAATTAACACAATATGGGTCAATTTATGATAGTTTGAATAGGATTAACCTATGTAAACTTACCTTCCATGAATTCTTTATATGAAGCATGCTTGTGTAGACCTTAATGTCAATTGTAGTAGTGTCTCATCTAGACTATGATTTCATTAGATACTGACTAAAATGTACATTTTTCTAAAATATGATTTATTATCAAGACCTTAGAGAATCAATAGTGTTGGTTAATTCCTCTCTATACCCTAACGAGTTGACAAGTCTGATTCCTATGTTGTAGCTTGATCTTGAAGTGATTTAATCATGATTTCTTTATGATTATGTGTGTAATTAGCTACTGCCCTAGACTTATGCCATTAATTAAATATAATTGATGATCAATGCAAGTGAATTGGATTAAAAGCCTTGTATTATGTTATAGTATGATCTTATAGAGACTTGTACATGGTTTCTTCTATAATTAAAGTACATTTAGCTACTTCCCTATATATGAAGTGTTGATGAACAAGGTCTATTGATCAATGATGATCAAAGGGTGAGAAATTGGTAAGAATGCTTATCTCTTCTACTTTCCGTATAATATTGTAGTTGATGAAGCCTTGTATGACATAGTGTGGTATGGTCCACTTATGGTGGAGTTGTTTACTTTTTTTCAATCTATATATGTGTTGACCATGTTAATGAAGGAAAATTCATGAATATATGAGCATGTGATTTTGATGATACTATGTGAAGCTTATGCCTACTTTCCTATTCTAGTTGTGAATTAGGTTGTATGGCTATTGTGTAAGCATGTGTATATCCATGTTAGGGTGAAGTATAGGTGATGCCATTGATGAGTTAAAAATGTTTAATAATACTTTACCAATGTACCCCTATGTGAATGCATTAATAACACAAGTTAGGAGTCTTAAGTGTAATATGAAGTTGGCTTGTCTTCTATGCTATTGTGTTTTGTGTGGTTTATGCTTGAAGGTATATTATGGTCTAAGATGGTGGATGCCTCAATATGTTGTTGATATCCATTATGTGATCATGTTGACCAATGTACACACACACTCACTCACATGCATATTACAAGTCGTATGGGTCATGGTGTCTAAATGAAAGGTTGTTCATTAGTCTACTAGGCATGTAAAGTATATGTATGTGAGATATGTTATGTATTCCTTACTAGGATGACTTGAAAGGTGTACTAATATGGGCAAGGGTATGGGACCTTGCCTATGCATTGCACATGTGTACCTTGATATGATAGTTCTAATTTTGGTTTATATATGTATGAATATGTATGTATGAACTTGTATGACTTAATGTGTTGTGTGAAAGGTTTGATAAAATATATGTATACACACACATGTATGAAGATCTAGTCAAGAGAGGGTCCTTGAATGGTGTATTCATGTGTACCCTAAACTAGATGATGCTTCACATATGCTATGTTCATGTGAATCAATTATTTACATGATTTAGGTTGATGAACTTCCATCTATAACCTATGAGTTGAGCATATGAGGGGATGAATGTCCTAAACCTATGATTTATAAAGTAAAAATATAATAACGGTTTCCAATGAAGGGAACTTAGCTTAACACTGAGTTAACTTGAATATGAGTGTGTGTCCCTTCCTATGGTAGAAAGGTATGTCACCATAAATCTCATGAGGTGGATAACCACAATTCCTCAATGGGCATAAATAGGGTTTCCATAAGTGAATAACTATAATGCCTAATATTGGCATAAAGAGGGTTTTAACATGTACCTCCAAGTTCCATATCTATGTTGCCTACATAGGATACTATCTAGTGGATCCACCTAGAAAGCTATGTCATATTTGGTTCTACTTTGGCCGGTAGACCACATCCTTTCGGTGTTGGGTTCTTCCATATTTATCATCACACAGTCTATGTCAGTTAAGGATATAGTTTCCCTAAAGTAAAATGGACAATGGAAGTTAAATGACGAGCAACCTAAATAGAATGACTTAAGGGAGGTTACTTAGGATAGGTGGAAGTAATGAACCCATCTAGACAATGCACAAGTAGCTCCTTAGGAAGTTCGAAGAAGGTGTTCTAATGCATGTCACTATGTATGTGTTCCCTATGCATGACATTGTAGTATTTGTCTACTTGTTACGAATATGTGCATGATATGAGTTTTCATGCATGATGTTGATCTTGTTGACTATATGATGAAGGTCTTGACTTAACTATATCTATGTGGTATTATACTTCTAATATGGTATGTGTTGTCTTGTGTAGATGATATGTATGATTTTCCTTGTGGTCCTAAGGTGATACATTGCACCAATTATCCTTAATTGATTACTTGGGAGACTAATGAATTAATAGAATTAGTTCATTGTAAAGAGGATGAGCTCAATGTAAAGTGACCTCCAATTGGACTTAAATTCTATAAGTCCTTTTCAATGATGTTTGGCCTTTGATTGTGTTTCTATGAAGTAAAAAAATTATATATATGCTATTGATAAAGGTTTTATGATTATTTAATCAAAATGACATGAAGTATGGTTTCAAAGAAAATGTCCCTTTTAAATGCACATTTTTGCATGGCTGCCATACTTAGTACATTCTTGTGCTAATCCCATTCTTATATACTTTTTAACAAAGTGTAGGTAATGGAATGCTTAAAGGAGGTCTATGATTGAGGATCTTGATAAGTGATTTCACAAGCTCAAGGAAATGAATCCTTAAGTCCAAGGATGTCCTAATCTGTACTTATTGTAAAGTCTACTAAATATTGTATAGTTTTGTATTTGTCTTAAGGGCAGTGTCCCTAACGTATTCTAATAATGTTGAGTCTAAGATTGAAAAGAGACTTAGAGTCTATATATGTATTATGACTTATATTTTAAAGTTTCTAGCATATGAGGTGCTATGAAGAGTTTTAAATTTTCCGCTAAATTTACTATGTCGATGCGATGAATGATAACTATGGGCTTTTATAAGATCTACGAGAGGTCAAGTACGCTATGTTACTTCTAGGGGGTGCTTCTCGGTTGTGACACCTAACTTCTAAGGTGTGGTTTTGGTATGTGCCAAGCTTGGTATAAGAGCATAGGTTGTGAAAGTAGTATTAGGATTTGAAAAGTCTCAAGTCACGTCTAGTAGAGTCTTGACTATCGGTGTGAGTTGCGACACATCTATGGGCGAGAGGCTATAGGACGATAGAGTTGCCCTTCTTTTCTACTCCTATGTCATGCCGTAGAGTAAAAGTTATGAGTAATATTTTCTTATGGTTTTCCTAGGGTTTCTAGGATGATGAATACGAGGAAAACACCAGCTAGGAGAGTTGATGAAAACGAGGTGTAAGAGGAGATTCCTCCACAAGTTGAGAAAGTTGAGAAAGTTCCTCAAGGTGATCCAGTCCCTAATATGGAAAGAGGTAATGATGTTCCGGAGGTTCATCAGGAGTTGAGTAATAGGGAGATAGGAGAGGCTTTGGTTGCTTTATCCCAAGCCGTGACTACTCAATTAAATTTGAGTATGATGCCTAGGGTGAATATTGTGAAGAGAACTATGACCTTTAGGTTAAGAGATTTTCTGAGGATGAATCCCACCCTCCTATCTTTCTTGGCTCTAAGATGGGAGAGAATCCCCAAGATTTTTTTGATGGAGTGTACAAGGTGTTGAGTGCTATGGGAGTTAAATCTAGGGAGAAGGCGGAGTTAGTTTCATATCGATTGAGGGATGTTTCTCAAATATGGCACACTCAATGGAATGATAATAGGCCGGAGGAATTGGGTCCTACTGAGTGTGAAGAATTTAAGGAAGCTTTTCTTGGTAAGTACTTTCCCCGAGAGAAAAGAGAAGTTAAGGTGGAGTAGTTTATCAATCTCAAGCAAGGCATTATGAGTGTTGGTAATACTCTTCGAAGTTCTCAATGTTATCTAGATATACCCCTTCTCTTGTGTCTAATCCAAGGGATGAAATGAGTCATTTTGTGATAGGTGTGGCCGACTTAGTGAGGGAGAAATGCCGTACCACTATGCTACATGATGATATGACCCTATCTAGACTCATGGTGTATGCACAATCAATTGAAGAGTCTAAACTTAGGAGGATGGCTAGAAGTTTGAAAAGAAGTAGTGCTAGTGATCAAGATCAAACTAGGTTGAAGAAGAGGGATCAAACTCAAGAAGAATATAAGAGGGTTAAGGTGAAAGTGGAGAGATGAGGTGGTTCTAAAAATGTCAAACCTACATGTGTCACTTGAGGCAAGAAACATTATGGTGAGTGCCTATTTGGTACCGGGAGTTGCTACAGTTGTGGTAACGAAGGACATAAGGTGAGAGATTGTCCTATGATTGCTTCTAGAGAAAGAGAGGGTAAGCAAGTTGCTCCTAGTTCTCCAAAGGTTGATGCTCCAACAAAAAGGTATTTCCATGCATTCTGGAATAGAGGATCAAAGACAGATGAGAATGATGAGGCTAAGTCCTTGCATTTTATATTTTTGAGATATGAGTTTCTTCTAAATGGGGGAGTATGATTAGTAGACGGGATAGAAATTCCTAGAATCCTGTTGCATGTGCATGGTGTTTAGGTGTTTTGTTAAAATTGAATTTCATAACCTTCTTGCATTGTGTGTTTTGTGAAGCCATGAATGTGTTTTAAGATGTGTTTACATGATTTTACTTTACATATTATCATATTTATATCATGAATTGATTAAAAGATGGATTTTTGAAAAAAATTGTTGAATCACTGTAAGTACTGTTTATTCACTGTTAAATTTTTGGAAATTTGACTAATTAATTCTTTGGCCTAAAATTGTTGTTATGTTGTTAGAACTGATTTATATAGGCATGATATTTAATATAAAATGAGTTTTTTGTTATTTGGGATGAAGCATGTGAGTTTTGAAGCATAACGAGTTATAGAATTGTCTTCTAGTTTCCTGTTGTGTTATAAATATCATAAATATGTGAAAGTGATGTTTTGTTATTGATTAAGTGTTGTATGTAATGGTTATTAGCTTTTAGTTAAATCTCTATTCTTGTAAGTGTTCGGAGAGTGGCAAGTGTCATTCGAGGACGAATGTTGTCCAAGTGGGGGATGTAAGACCCAAAAATGACATAGGTTAAATAGCGACTAGACTTTTGGTATTGATTGTATAGGGTACTAAATAGGTCTATTATGTGTTAATGAGGAAGTGACTAATAGTTAAGGTGCATTGGAAGTCAAACATCAAGGGACGACTAAGACGTTCGACGACTAAGTCACCTATGTGGTTCTTTGTGTTTATGTGTGATTCATGAGGTTTTAAGGTCTTTAAATGATTTATTATGTCATCTATATGCAGTGTGTCACGCTTCGTGGAGTTTGGAGATCAAACGTCCATGACGTTCGAAAGTGTTTCCTTGAAACGACCTTGTGTGTCTAAGCATGTTTCATTGAGTTTTACGCGTTAGTTTTGGATGAAATTCATGTGAGAGGTGCTAAATCGTATATGATTATTTTTGGGTTGGAAACGTCCGAGAAAACATCCCCAAGGAGCAACCAATGGTCCTTGAGAAAGGACCCAAACTTGGAGTCAAGACTGTCCCAGGTAGCCCTAAATGACATCAATGGCTAGTGGTCCTATCGACGCCCTGTCGATGGGTGCCGTTGGTAGGAACTTAGACTAGGAAGGGAAGAGGACCATTTCAAGCCTCTCAACCAAACGACAGGAGTTCAAGACAATCTTTTTGTGGAAAAATGGTCCGTCGACTGCCCAATCATCGATGGTCTCTTTTCCTGCGCAGCCTCATCGTTAAGTGAGGGGTGATGTTGTAATTTCACCCCACTTCCAAATAAGAGTATTGGCGGTTATTTAGGGGTCTTTTGGATATTTTAAATGTGTTTATAAGTCTCAAAACACATTGAAGAATTCATTCTTCGAAATCAAAAACCAAAATCCCTTAGAATTCTCTCTAGGACTCCATTGAAGTCCAAACACAAGGAAGGGCTTAAAGTGACGAATTGGGTGGATATTATTAATTAAAGTGAGTAATTAGATTCATAAAGGTATGGATATTGATCCTTGAAACTCTGTTCATCAAGAAGCCCCAATTCTCAAGATGTTTTCTAAAGTTTTCAAGTTGAATTGTCCAATTTCAAGATTCTACCATGGGTTCTTGCATTAATGATTTCTAAACATTGAATAATGATTTAATTGATATTGTATTGATTATTTTAACCTAAATTGCCTATGAACCCATGAGTTGAATGAACCCTAGATTTTGACTATGTTATGGGTTACTTGATATTGATCTTATGTTGTTGAATTCTAGTGTATATTTATATGGGCTTTGTAATGATGTAAGAATTGTGTTCAATTGATATATAGGTTGTATTAAATTGATGAATCTATATTGAATTGACCTAGTTTCATTTATTATCATAATTTCTATATTGAATTATTGTCCATGGCCATTGGTAAGGGTCTTATAGAAGTGAATTGAATGATTTAGCATCGAATTAAGGAATTGAGGATGATGTGGTGGTAAGATGACCTATTCTCTTCATTTGAGGTTATTTATACTTCAATTATGTTGTGATTGTTATGGTCCACTTATGGTGGTGGTATTATGTGCTTTACTTGAAATTGACGTGGCCTTATCGTTGTTACTTTATGCAATAAGATGATCATAGCATTGTCGGCACTACTTGAAGTAATGTTGCTATTTCTGTAGTTGAATATGTGAAGTAAGATGATATCTATCTACATGTTAAGTGTAACACCTTGAAAATCCAAGCCGTTTCGTCAAGCCTAACATAGGTTTCATAAAGTCTAAGTAGTGTTTGTAAGTCCAATATTAATGAATATAGGACATTTGGGAGGTTTAAGAACCAAAACATCTATGACGTCCGGGAAGTTGGTTCAAAGGGATGTTAGTGTACCTTATCCTATTTGACTACCTTTCAGGAGATAGAAATGAACAAAAATTGGAGGAAAGGTAGATAATAGGTGTTTGAGTTTATTCATGGTTGAAACTTCCAGGAACGACTCCCCAAGGACCAACCAAGGGCTCTCGAGGAGGACCCCTGTAGTTTGATGCAAAACTACCTGGCAGTGTGCATTGACTGGACAAAAGACGGACCGTGTGTGGATCGATGGGGTGTCGATGTCGTCCCACACTTAGGATGGTGGATAAGTCCCTTTCACCTGCACAACATCTGAACTCATCGACGGATTGCAGAGGTGCAGACTATGATCCGTGTATGGTTCGACAGGGCGTCGATGCCACCATCATTCCACACTTAAGCAATTGGAGGAATAACCTTGCTTGCATTGTCTCTGACCAAGACAACGGTGTGCAGGATGGGGGGGGGGGCTGTCTGTCGACAAACAGAAGGTCCATTGATCGGGGGTTCATCTATGAGGGTCGAGTTTTTTGCCTAATTTAAGTTGGTCTTATTTAATTAATTAAGTGGTTTAGGGGTTAGTTGCGGATTGAAGAGAGACTATTTAAGTTTATTAAGTCCCACTATAAAAACCCTCAACCCTCATTAACCTAAAGACAACTCTCAAATAAACTCTCTTCCTTCTCTGTTATTTCTCTCTCTACATGAACTCACTATTGAGGACTAGCAAGCACTAGGGTTTGGGGGCTGGAAAGGGATTAATTCACCATCAAATTGTTAAAAAACGTTAAGGTGTGGGTTCTATTAATCTTTGAGACTCTTTCCTCAAAGAGTTTCTTCAAAATAGATTTCAAAAAAGTTGAGTTTACTTATGGTTTTTATTCAATTACAAAATTGAAGTTATGGATTGAGTTGTTGATGATTTCTACAGGTTATTTGAGTAGATTAATATGTAATTCAACTTATTGATAGTAATTGTTGATGGTTTGGTCTAAATTGAAGATTATGATTCTCCACCCCTAATCATAGGTAGTGATCATGACCTA